ATGCTTGATAGATGAGGTAGAGAGCCTTCTTGTCTCTCTTTCTTGAATCCTTCAAAGTTATCTTTTGATCTGGTGTAAGAGTAGCAAAAACATCATCATCCGCAGGCTCGTTATAGCCTTTCTCTATGATATCCCACACATCTTGTGATCCAAGAAGTGCCTTCATTTTGATACTCCAATTGTCGTAGTTGTTGTTGTTGAGTGTCGGAACTTGGAATGGTGCCATACCATTTGCCATATCTCTCAATATAATGAGATTTTGTAAAATCCGATTGCACGGATGAATCCGGAACGATGAAAAAAAAACTTTGGAGGGACTTGGACAACTCGATCAAGGGCTCCAACTCGGCTGACTCGGCTCAACTCGGTGAGTCAACTCGATTTTCTGGCAGCAGTCTTCCGGCGGTGCGTGGCGGTGCGTCAGAACTCAGATTGAGAAAATTCTGGCGGCGTCGTATTCCTCTCGTCGAGACCTTCGATCTTTCCAACTCTCTCTGATGCCACTTTGTTGGAAATAAAACACTCACACAAACAACTTTTATTGAAACTCAAACAAATATTACAAGAGTACTCTCACTCAAAAACAAGAACTACAACTCACTCTTATAAGACTTTGCTTCTTCACTCACTTAGAAGCTCTTAATTTTTCTTGATGCTTAAAACTAAAATGGGAAGGGGTATTTATACTACTCAAGAACAATCCTACACCACACAAATAAACTAATTTAAACCATTACAAATTCAACAAATATCTAACTCTCACCTAACTAAATTGATGTAAGCAATGACATCATTAATTAAATGATGTAAGCAATGACATCTTTAATTAAATGATGTAAGTAATGACATCAATTTAGTTTGGGTTTGGGTTTAGGCTCCCATAATGGATCAAGTTTATGATCCAACAAGTGAGTCTTCACGTGAGCTAGGGTTAGATCCTTGACATTCATCAACTCTAACACAGACTTGGGTGTTGCTCCTGTAACAATAATTTCCAATACAAAGATGTAGAAGCTTTTTATGATTTTTTCCACAAAAAATTTCTATATCTTAGGTTGTTTAGTGGTATTACTTTCATGGCCTCCGAGAAGCTGGACTGCATGAACAAAGTGAGCATGGAGGGTGGTCGTCTACCTCATTCTCGGAGCTCTGGTGCTTCTTTACACCGCTCCATTGATCACTCTTGCATTTCTCTTGAAATCACGGCCATTGATAAGAGGTTGATGATGGTGATGATTAAGACCTAAAACTGCCGTCTGGAACCCTAAGCTCAACGTTGGGCCTGGACTGGTGTACCCATTTTCATGGCTGAGATTGCTAGCACTGCAACTAGAAGAATCAGTCGTGGAGCTCCTATCACTACTGATCGATTTTGTTGATAACCCATCGTAGGCTATTCCTTTAGCCGTACGATCCGAAACGGAGGGTGGGAAAATCTGCAAGGATAAACCAGGCAAAGGTGTGGTCCTCATTATAGCTTTTGAACTAGTGAACATTACCAAAAGGTAAAGGTCTTAATAGAAAGGAAGGTAAACGAAAGGATTTGAATGCTGTGAATTGTGTGATTAAATCATGAGTGCCTCATGATTTGCATGGCTGTTGTGGGAGAAGGAGCGAATGAGTAAATAAGGCTTTTTAGTAGAATGTAGGTTTAAATATCGAAGGTTAAAAAGATCATTGCCAAACCAACAAGAAAGAGTTGCAGGAAAAGAGAACGTCCCTGAGATTTTCTTTTCTTTTCCTTTTGTGGTGAAGGAAACAGTTAGGAAAAAGGGCAACTTGCGGGTGCATGGAAGGATCAGACACATTTTCCCTTGGAGAAAGACAAAGAATAAGAAAGGGAGAGAGAAATAGTGTTTTCTCTCTTGCACATTTATAACATGAAATTGTAAAAAATGGGACTGGTCTTTTGTGATATATATATAACGGTCACCAACTTTTTAGTTATTGATTTTAAAATTTATAATATGATCAAATAATTTTTAATTCGTTTTTGTTACTCACACTGAATTTTTAATTTATTTTCATTCTGATCACTATCTCAGTTGTCGTTAAAAAAATACTTATAATCATATAATTTTAGAGATATAATTTTATATAGTCATGAATCTTTCACAATTGATGAGGTTTATGATTCCTTATCTTCATATGATAAGATGAAGCATCTTGTGCTTGCATCTGAATAAAGAGGGTCTTATTGTTCGTGAGAAAACTGAAGAAAGAATTCTGGTAATAATGCCAAGACTAGGTCAAAATCTAATAACACAGGAAAAACATTTATGTTATTCTTGCAAGAAAAAGGGTACATCAAAGCCGAATATTATAGGTTGCAAAATAGGTACCAAAGGGATGGTACATATCACAAGGGATAATAATTAGAGAAATCTAAAGAAGCTGATGCAGTTGAAGATTACGATGATGGTGAACTTCTAGTTACTTCTGGTGAAGATTGTAATGGATACTTGACTTTAGTAGCAATTTTCATATGAGTCCCAATTGGGATTGGTTTGTGACATATAAAATCGTGTCTATAGATGATATATTTTGGAGAGATAATGTCTCTTGTAAGGTCGTATATATTAACACAATCAAAATTAAAATGTTTGATAAGATTGTTTGAACATTTAGTAATGTAAGTCATGTTCTAAATTTGAGACGAAATCTGATTTGCTGAGAACCCTATATTCAAAAGGGTATAACTTCTCTAATATATGTGAAGTTATAAAAATTTAATAAATCTCTTGTTTTGATGAAAGGCCATAGAAAACCTGTCATGTTTTATGTTCTATAGTGTTTAATAGTTTTGGATAATGTAGTTGATATTTTCTCTTTTATGTCAAATGACGTTGTTACATGTAAAAATATCTTGAATAAATCAAGAAAAAGAAGAATTTTTGTTGAATAAAATAACTATAGGCATAACAATTTTAAGGAGTAGAAGAGAGTTAAATTTTATGGACATAATGGATTTGAGGAGCAGAAAATTTAATTTCGTGAGCATAATGGATTGTTTCTTCATAATGTTCTACTATTTGGAATAGACATAGTAAAAAATAGATATTTGTAGAGATTAATGAGACTAAAACATTATAGGTGGTTAATAATAGAATTTCATTGAAGATTAGAATCGTGTTGTGCATGATATTACTCGTGATGATATAATTGTCGAAAAAGTTGGCATTGATGATGACCTTATCGATGTGAAGACTAATTTACTTCATACATCCAAGCTTTGGATAGGACTGGATTCAGTTAACAATCATTGTTGAAGAATACCTTTTTGAGGGGCTTCATGGAAGATGCTGAGAATATGTTCTCGAGATGTAGAACTTGTTCGTTGATGTGAAGAATTGATATTTTATTGAGTTTAGGTGTTGCAACAAATTCGTGTCAGGGTGGTGATTGTTAGAATTTGACCCAAACTTGATTTGACTCACATTAATGAATGTATTAATTAAGAGATAATTGTAAAAAGTCAAAAACCTAGTTTGATTGGAAGTTGGAAGTTTCTCTTTGTTTTATGTAGAAAACATACTTCGATTAGATTTCTACTAAATAAGTTTTCTTTGTAATCAAATATATATCCCTATAGATAGATATTATGAGTTAGGGTTAAAAGTCAAGTTTTTTTTTCAAATCATCTTGTATTCAACTACTTTCGACATTAATAAAAAAAATTCTCTTTTGCTGTTTTTTTTTCTTAAAAGATTTTTCACGTAAAATCTTAATGTTTATTTTATTGTGCGATTAATATATTTATCGTTATCTTCTAAAAATATCATTAGATATTGAATCAAATTCTAATTGATAATTAAATTAAATATTATTTTAATTCTAGTGGTCGAAGATTTCTCAAAAATTATGTTGATATTAAACAGATACTAAGTCTCTAAGGTGTGGGAAATGAGAAACATTTTGGCATTTTCTGTTTATTTGATTTTATTTCATTATGAAATATTTATGTTTTGTTGATTCCTTCTTGGATTAATGAATTAGTAAGTTTGCAATGGAGTAATAATATCTGGTCAACCTGTCTTTATGTTATCACATGCTTTAGGTTTTATTCCATATTACATAGGATTATCCAACGAGAACAACTGCATGTATTTCTTTAATAATATCATCTTTAACCTTCGAATATGTCACAATAATTAACACATAAAGGTATCCAAAATTCAATCGAGTACGGTGTAATATTTTAAAAAATAGTGGGCATCTAAGAGGGAAAATAATAAGAGCTGCCGTCCCACCTCTCTGTGTATAGGAAGGATATGATGAGTTTAATGCAGTTTGGAATTGAGCCTAAGGAGTGAAAACGAAAAGAGGAGAGGAATCAATGAGACAGAAAGGACGCAACAAAAGAAAAGGCCGTACAAGCCGTACGAAAGGTTAAGTGTAAGGGCCGTACAAGCTCCACAAAAAGTTAGACCAAGAAACAATGGCCACAAAATTCAGAAAATGAGTTAACTGCGGGATGACTCGTTTCCTCAAGCAGAAAATGCATCTCAGGACATCATATAATCAAATCCTGAATGACTGCTGCAATTTTCTTCACTATCAATGGATGAGATTCAGCAGCCATAGCATACACTATTATTCCTCTCACTCCATCCAAATTAGACAAGCACATTCTATAAATCCTGTTAATGAGTTTCAAAAATGATTTTCCCCTCCGAACGACATTGGTAAACGACGCTAGATTGCTAAAGGTCCACAGAAATTGCATCTCAAAGTAGGCAAAAGAGAATTACCGCAGGTCTGTAATAATAAGAACAATTAGATCAAGTATCTACTATCTGATTAATTTTAGACTTACCGGCAGGTAATATTGATAACAGATTCCAATTCTTAGAAAGTGTTCCTAAAGCAACCAGACTCTTTAAAACCCTTTCCTTTCACATACTCAGAATCACATGACAAAAGTGACAAATGATAGAGAGAGAAGCAAAGGATAAAAGGGTGCTTCAATATATATTGTCACCTGGAGGTTAAAGTTTTGTTTTGCCTTACAAAGAAGCGTGCTTTTAATCTAACACTTTTCTTCCTGGCCCAGATATATGCACAAGCATTTCACAGAAGTTGACAAGTTCAAATACACAGATGTCACCCATCTTTATGTCATTATCACGAACAAAGGCCATCCATCCTCCACAGAAGGTATGCACGGTTCGACCTTTTGAATCTGGTAAAGAATTTACAGTCCAACATTTGCCTTGCAAATTACGAAGCACTACTTGTGTTTTGCAGTAGGGAAGATGCGCCTTTGAAAACTTATATGGTATTTTCTGCATCATATGATCCAGGTAGTAAATGAAAACTGATAATAGAGAATCCCAAAGATACTATGCCTCCTATATATTTCTGCAACAATAACTGACAGTAATTACTAACAATTAAAACAATTTCCAAGAGTTATAAAGAACTATTTTACTTTGTTGTTAATATTCAGCATAGAAAACTGCCAATTCTTTATATGTATCTTAATTATTTCTTGATTTGGGCTTATCATTGTTGAGCAAAGACACACCTATGGATTCATCAAATTAGTTATAGAAGAGATCACGCTTCAGTCAAATTTCTGAAGAGAGGGAAATGAGAAGTAAATTGCTCACCAGAGTATATGAACCGTTGACATTGAACTTTTTCATAATTCTTACAAAATTAGGAAAGCCAGAAGCAAAAGAACTAGATGCTTTTTCTTCATCGATTGCCAACATTGTTCTCGAACCACCAACTGCAGCTTTTGTTTTAGAAGCCAAACCAAGTGAGAATGCAGTTTTACCAATAAGTCTAGTCAATCAATATTCTACAGCTATTCCAAGGATTACAATAACATAATTAATACCGGCTAGCCATGATCCAATAAACATAGATAATATCCCTGGAAGCTTAGAGAAACACTAAACTTTCCTCAATGAGATACAAGTAACACTCATCATCAGTGAGCAGCACTATCCCTCTATTAATAAGCATAATATTGCATATACATCAAGTTCAGAACAATTAGAAACGTTACCTTGCCTTTCATTGCATGACCTTGACAAAGAGCAGAGTACAACACTTGCAGATCTTTTTGCTGCCTTACCATATTTCTTTTTGTTAAGTATCTTAGACCCTTTGTTATCACACATTTGAACTTTTTCTAATTTTGAGTGGACCTTTGAAGCATTTTTTACTAAATCTTTCAGTAAAGTAGAATCAGAACTGTCAATTAACACATTAGCAACAGCTACTCCACTTTGCCGGTCCAGGTCTTCCTTTCCAACCCGAAGAATATGCACATGGAATTCAAATTTGCACACAAATTCAAAAATACAAATGTCTCCGACCTTTATCTCATTACTACGGACAAAGCTCAACCATCCACCACATAAAGTATGATTGGTATGCACTCTTGTTGTAGGCACAGAATTCACAGTCCAACAAGATCCTTTCAGATTCCGAAGCACAATCTCAGTCTTGCACTTTGGGAGATGTTCCATCGCAAACTGATATGGAATATTCTGGGTCACAAAGAATAAAAAGGCAGTTGAATACATAAGCAGGTTTCATTATGTCTAAATAAGATATCTAAAAATCTTAACTAGTTGATTCAAGATACTGGGTAATGGCTAGAAGAATTTCCACCACATAAGCAAAAATGTAATCATTAAAAAGGTTGTCCAGTCCTTGATTTTGGAACAAGTACACGAGGGAAGTTATTATATCTATTTGTTTTCCCCCTTATAAGTAGAGGAAGTTGTTTCCAACTATAGCCAGAGGTAAAACCATGATCATCAGTAGGTTAAGAAACTTGTTCGAAAGCACCAACTTCAGAAGTATTGATATTAAGACAAGTTTCTAGCATGCAGAACGATTTAAAACTCTAAACTGATGCCATATAGCAGGATACACAATATAAAGGCATGTGCGAACAATGTCCTAAGCAAAAGATCCGGAGTGAAAAATGTGAGAAGAAACGACTTACCAATGTATATGAGCCACTGACGTTGAATCTTTTCATAATTCTAACAAAAAAGGGGAAACGTGAATTAAAAGATTGAGCCACCTTTCTCTCTTCAAATTCTCCTACTATTTGAATACAGCAACTACCATGTAGATTCAAGTCATCTTCTTTGCCAGTTCTCAGGATGGTTTCATCTGTTTCAAGAGATGGGTATCTTTATCAAGAGGGATTCATGAGATCTAAATCATCATTGAAGTTCCAACATGAAACGGATTGACTGTCCATACATGCAAGCAAAATTACAAAGTCATGAAATAAGTGGTACCAAGACTAACATAAAATGATGAGACCTCAACAACACTCCAGTTATATTGATACCAGAGTTTTTATGTGGCGTAGCGATTACTAAAACAAGTTTTTGTTGCTGACTGACTGTCATGGCTACTCCTTCATAAAAGAATTACTAGATGAAAAGCAACAAAATTCATTAACACATACAAACACTCTCAATCCAATGATAAAACAATGTTTCACATATAAATCCCAAAGAATGAGAGAGGTTCATTTCCTTACCATGATTTTCATCGTAGGAAGTTAATCCTTGACAACTTTTAGTTGCAAGAACCAGCTCATCTCCACAATGTTCTTTATCCCCATCGGATTGGAACGAGCTCTCTGTAATTCTCTTTAACAATTCTTCACAATCTTGATCCAATGAAACGCCTCCATCCTCCCTATATCTCTTCTGCCCACGATTCCATTAAACTCGTTACCACCTTGAATGCATTTACAATGAAAAGCAACTTCTTTCTCGCATTTGCTTTGATCGAACACTTTGACATCAAAACCAACTCACCATCATACCTAAAAACCAAAAAATCACCACATCCTAGGCAATGATCTCCAACGAAATCAGCCCACCCTTTATCAAAGAACAAGTCATCATTCTTTTGAAATAATTCAACAACCCAACTATACCCACTTGGTCCTTTTAACAAAACTGACCCAGAAAATTTTCCCTCCAAGTTTCTCCTAAACCCCACAGGAATTTTCTGTTAAAATATCACCATCAAACAAGTAAATATATAATTAGCTAATCTAAAATGGATTAATAACAATACTTTCACTAAACCCTAATTTTTGCATGGAGGATGAAGAGTAAAATACCAGGCTGTTGGCACTCGAAGTAGAGGAGAAGACGTCGAGAAAATGTGGTCGCCTGGGTTTCAACATCGCTGTTGCAGCTGCCTTTGATTTGCTTTTTTGAAACTGCTTTTCACTCAGTAAGTCAAAATAAAACACTGAAAGGCTGGAATCGTAAGAGTAAAAACAACAAAATTGAGCAGTCTGAAGAAGAAAGCAAAATAAAAATAAAATCCAACAATGTTGACTCGGATATTAAATTCGGACCCGAATTTTGAACATTCAAGATACGGATTTAATATTTTAAAAAAAATAATTTTTAACTAGAATTTTAAAAAAATAAAATATAAAAAATTAATATTTTTTTTATAAGTTTGAGATAAATATAAATTAATATTATGTTCAAATATATTTCTCAACCATTTGACATCGAATGCTCTCACATCTCTTGATGCTTAATCCGGGACCTCAAGAAATAATAATAATTTCTTTACTAAGATTACTTGGTTCGTACAAATATAAAAAATTATTAAAAACTTATATAAAAATTAAAAGTATATACTATTCATTATAAAGAAAATATAATATATTGTATATAATTTTGAAATATATATATATATATATATATATTTAATTTCTCATTTCTCTTTCATTTAAAAACAATCTATAATATAAAGCATTTATTAAAACTATATAAAATTGTAAAAAAAATCTATCAAATATGTGTAGATATTTTAATTTATCATTTACCTAAAAAAAAGACTTTAAAATTACATCTTATACTAGAGGTAAACTATTTCTTTTTTCAAACTCAATTTTTCATGAATTATTTTATCCTCGACTCCTAAAATAAGCTTGAGAGATAAGCTATTTTCTTCTATTTATTCTTCCCGAATGAGAATTCTTTGGATGTAATTGAGTATAAAAAAATATTGAGTTTGAAGAGGCAGAACAAACAATTTTACTTTAGAATTTGATTTTAGTTTGTAAGGCAACGTCATATATTATAGTCTGAAGTTAAAATTAAGGAAGTAGTATAAATCATCTTGTTCTACTCCTTAAATCAACATGTCACCAGACTTCACATCCTTAAGAAAACAAGTATTATTCGACACATGTAACATTCTACTCAAAATACACTGAACTGTCCTTGGAAAAATGAGAAACAAACATGACGATTTTAGAAATATTCGACACATGCAATGGATGATCCAAAAATGGGAGTTTATGTGGTGATTTAAAAACAAAAAGAGTGTTCAGTATGTGAATTAGACAAGGAAGTATCATTATCAATAATGATCATCTATGCTGCACGGGTACCATAACCCAATGTTGTTTCAACTCTCTAGTATGTCTTCGAGATGAGTATGAGATGGATATAGTTTAGGAATGTATCGAGGATGTCCCATGTTGAAGGAGTACGATTAGAATTAGTTTAGTACATCGAAAATATTTCCCAAGGACGTATTAGGGATAACGTTTGCTCTTCACGCGTGTACCCAAAATATGATTTTGAATAAGAAATTGAAGTTGATTTTAAAATTTGGAATATCTGTTGACTTACGATGATTTTTCAGATGAGATTTGGACATTTTTGGATTTTGATGTCTTCTTTCATATGAACCGTATTTCACTTACCTTTCTAGTGCATCTCGAAACACCTCAATCGAACGTCGAAAACTCAAAATATGTTCATTTTAACAAAAATATTACAAGCAGAAAATTGGATATATGTCTAATAGGTGGTTTTGAAAATTTATTTATAAACTTCAATAATATTTATAACTTTTTTATATATTTTTAAAATTTTATAATTTATTTATATTTATCATGATCTCACTGCACATGTATCTTGTAATTTTAAAAATTGTCGCTTCACATTCTTGTATCCATCCCTGCATTTGTATTAGTGCAACATAGATGATCATTCCTAAATCGTGATAAGAAATGATGAATCGAACATTTATTAAGTTATTTGTGTGAGTGATACCATAATCTAGATACCATGTGGTGGTCATTCTATCAACATTTTGTTCGAAGTGGTTGTGGTAGTGTTTATCAAGTTTATAGTAGTGTTGTCCATGGTCGGGGAGGTGGTGTTAGATAAAAAGTATAATAGGCCATTGGTGAAAATTCTTGGATAGCAATGTTGAAGGGTGAAGGTGAGGGTATTGTAGTGCATATGTTTACATAGAGTTCTGTTAGATAAAGAGTTCATACTCGTCTTCACAGCACAACAGTACAGTTCGATATCAACATTACAACATACATCTTGCAATAAACGATAAAGTTAAATACATAATTTATCCTTATTCAAAATAATTAACTTTAGTGATAAAAAAATATTATTCTATAGGTTCAAATAATTACATTTATATGTTTACAAAATACACATACATTATATATTATGTTAATAAAATTATTAACATATACTACATTATAAGTCTTTCCTAATGTGAGCCTTCGACATGTTGTACCATTGGTTTTGGTGATAGTCTCTGAGTCAAAAACAGGTCTGAAACACCCAAGGGAAATTCCATTCACACAAAAGTATTTATCCAGAAGCAGCTGATAGAGACAAGAGGTGGGAGAGAGAGAATCTTTGGGGGCCAAGTAATATGACTGGTGGTAGACGCTGGTGCCGCACGCGTGCCTGGCTATTTACAGTGACCACCACTCTTCACCCGCCATATGCAAACCTCAACCTGTACCTCTCCAAAGAGACAAGGACAGGGTTAAGGACTCGGTCAATGTCAGGTCGGCAGAACGAGATGAGTTCATGCTTGTTTCCCCCAAACCAATATGTATACTTGTCTAGTAAGAATATGGATAAACATATTGATTTTTTTTTAAAATATAGAAAATACAAGTTGAGTAAACAATAAATATACAAAAACAAATAAATATACAAAGATGAATCAGAGGAGAGAGATAGCGGTAACCGATAAATCCGGCTAATAGGCTAAGTGCGGGGGTCGTAGGCAGATAACCAGAAAGAACTAAGAGGTTTAAATTTACTTTAAAGGTACAAATATTAAAGAATCTAAAATAAAAATATAATTTAAAATTAATATATATTAAAACTATTGGGTCGGGTCGGGCACTCGATTATAAAAAAATTTAGCCTAGACCCAGCCCAACTACTCGGGAAAAATCGTTGGTCGGGAATCTAGCTCGATCGAGTAAATTTTTTAAAAAATTACTTGATTTTTTAAAGTCTGGATCAACGGATCAGCAAGTCAAGTTAATCGGGTCAAATAATTTTGAACACTCATAATACTTACCCTTCGTACGTGCAGGTAATGATTTTCTTATGTGGCCAATAGCTCCACACTCAAAGTAAGCTCGGATCTTACGGTGGCATTCCTTATGGTGTCTTTGCCCACAAAACTCGTACTCGGACAAATTCGAAGCCATGGTTGATCCTCCAAAGTTCATCATCCAAGTAGAGGTCAATGGCTTTCTACGGGATATGTATATTGATATTTGTGACTATGCTAGTGTCAAAGATTGTCTTATAGTGTCAGAAACTCTCTTGTTATGGGGTGAAGCTCTTTTACCAGTCTCGATCTTATACTCTAAACTCTTTTTACTGTCTTAATTTTTCGTGTCAACTCAGAGAATGTCATAGGCGGTTATATTGATATATAGTCCCTTTTGAAACCTCCTACACCTAAGCTCCTCTATCGCCACTAACTCTAGGGCGTAACGACTCAAACACAGGAATTCTCTCTTATTCTTATAAATTGATCGGGTGCTCTAGACTAATTGCCAGAAATACATCCTTAGATCATCCATGTTATCCTCTCAAATGTATTTTTTTTTATAAAAATCTCTCAAGTACTTTCAAGTCACTATTTAGCATATAGAGTCATCTCTGTTGTCTTTTACCAATTTATAACATTACCTTTAAGTCAGATAGTGACGCACTCAATATTGCCCTCGAGAGTAAGATACAAATGTCTCAAGGTTCTTAGATTCTCCCTCAACCACTAATCAGTTATTTTCAAATTGTTGTCACTCGCACCATGGAAATCAAATGTCTTATACCTATGGAGTCACTCTCTTGGGGACTCTTGTAGTACAATTGAAGGAGGAGGAGCAGGCGAGGTAAGCTAGGCTCTCATAATTGTCCTCACAGTCTTACAAAGCACATAGTTAAGATTTCTAAAGCAGGCTTCCTCATCTACTCCAACGTCCTTAGAAAAACCATAATGCTTATTATATATTTTTAGACTTTTTAATTTGGATTTTGGATAGCTTATGGATAAAAATTTTTGGTTTGGATTGTTTGCAGTTTGATTTGATGATGCATGGTGTTAATTTTTTATTATTATTAGAATGTGCTTTCAAGCATGTTATAGATTAAATTATGTCAAATTTTTGTGGCTACGTGTAGTGATGATTTGGATAGGTTTCTTGAGTGGAATATGGTATGTCAAGTATGTTTGATTTGGTAAATGACCTTAGTTGCCTAAAGTGTTTGTAATGCCTAAAAGTGACCATAAAGTCCAATTATATATTTTTGGTTCGTAAAGCATGCTTGATTGCTAATTGGGTGATATGAAACATGATTTAGTTGTGATTTGGCATGTTTTTTTGTGTTTCAAGTAAGTTCATATATTATATAAGCAATTAGGAGTTGTATTTACAACTCAATTATGCATAATCAACTTTTTTTTCATTTTCCAAAAAAAAAATTGATCTCTTAGGAAAAATAATCGATCACTTAAAAACTTGAATGAAAAAGATCGATGATCCATTTTCTAAAAGATCAATCTCTCCTGTGAAAACATAGATCCTTTAGGGTTGAAATCATGGAAACTTGTTCTAAGTTGTCTTTTTAACTCGTAAAGTTGTTTTAACATTTGTTGCTTAAGTAAATGATACCTTGCAAAATGATCCTTAGATTTTTTAAATTGAAAATTGGGGATGAATTGTAAATTGAATTAAGTTGGATTTTCAACATTAGGCTTATATTTACTTTAATTTCATAGTTAAGCCAGAAATTTGGTAATTTCAACTCAGTAATAATACTAATTAAATTTTTTAAAACTATTTTCTCGAAACTTAATCCGATTATCTGATTCAACTACTCATTTATATCAACCTGAATTTTAGGATGATACACCACTTGTTCTATTCTCAAGAACATCATAAGTGATGGAGACTCGAACCAGAGAAGCGAAGAAGACAAATGTTTATGATGTGATGACATCTTTTAAGTTTGTATTATCTTGCATATCTTAATAGATTTTTTTAGAATCGCTATTGATCTTAATCAAACTTTGAAATGTAATTATCAAGATATACTAAATGCTTTATAAAAGAAGGATGAGATCCTTTTGGAATAAAAATAATATACTAATGCAAAAAACAACTTATACAAAGGTTTATAAAAGAAGGATGAGATCGTTTTGGAATAAAAATAATATAGAGATCGTCGATATGAATGTTCGATATAAAGGTGACAAAGAGAGGCCTTGGTTTCAACAATATGTCATCTCATTTGAGCATCATTATTTTGTTGGTATACTTATCTCTATTATTGATTCTCAAATGAATGAGATAAGTATGACGATATGATGAAGTTACTTGAGGTTTGTAATGATCTAAATTCGAGAGATGGTTATAATTAGTTTTGTATTGACGACATATAAATGCTTGCAAATAAAATTTACCTAGAAGATTCCACGTAATAAGAAATATGACACTTAAAAGTTCAATTAAAACAGATGGAGCCTTTAATTGAGAAAGACGACAACAATTTTAGAACTTTGTTAAGTGTTAACAAAAACTCAAAAGTCAAATAGATATTATCTTCTTAACCGATTTGTTTGTCTTTTTTACTATTCTTATTTCTACTACGACCACAGAGTGATCATATGCTCTTAGAATTTTGATTTAACGGGACTTGTGACTTTATAAACATTTTTGGATGTTTCTTGGTCGGTTATGCGTTTAAATTAGCCTAAAATCATGTCTTGTAAGAACCTAAGCTCACCAAAGGCCACGAACAAGCCCTCAAGGCTTCGATGGATATGAAAGCTTAAACACCAATATGAATACTCTAGTCACCAAGAGAGGCAACAAAGCAAAAAGAACAAACAACATAAAACAAAGTGACAAAGAGATAATATAATAATGTTCGTAGGTGTATTACTCTCTCAAATGAGAATGAATGTAGTTTCCTTATATCAGGGGATTTATATAATGTGGGCTTATCTTAGTTGTAGATGTAAAATATATTTGTTATATATTTTTCTTACTAATTACTATTATTGTTATTTTATATTAACTTATGTTATTATCATTTTATTAAATATAAAACTTTAAATATTTTATATAAATTTTATGTCTATCCTTAAACATAGTCTAATAAATTTAATTAGAATAAATCAAAAAAATTATCAAATTTGATTCAATTAATATTATTATCAATACATTATAAAAAACATGAATAATATATAACTATAGATAAATTACATGTTTAATACTTAAACTATTATTTTTATTCTATTTTGGTATCTAAATTTTATTTTATTTCAATATCATACGCAACGTTTAATTTAAGTTTTATTTTGACACACCGTCTTTAAAAACTTAATTGCGATAACCATAACATAATATCATGTCATCGTTAAAAAATTAAAAGTATCACATCAATATTTTTTTAATTTTTTAACAGTGGAGTACCAAATTGAAATATAAATTAAATATTAATTATAATTTAAAAAAAATTTAATATTAAAATAAAATAAAAATAATTTAAATATTAAATTTACCCTATAAAAGGGAAAACAATTAAGAAGGAACAATTTCTAATTTAATTACCTTTGAGAGTGGCTATAAATATCGTACACCGCCTTATAATTTGTTTGGATGTGAAAAAGGCATTATTTATTTATTTATTGAGGCCTTTGCCTATCGCTCTCTCTCCCAACATTAACAAAATCCTCGGATATTGTCTCTTCTCCAACTTCCAAACACATCTCCTTCCTTTCAAAATCTTCTCTTTTCTCTCTCCTTTGTCTCTTCCCCTGCTCTAAAAAAATTCACATTTAACCCGCATTCTCCACTTCCACCAAACCTTAAGCTGACAAAAATATGCCTGCTGATTCCGGCGACAGGCGTTCGGTTCGGATCCCGGGGACCATGGGGTCGCACCCAGCTGTCAAACTCACCGACCCGCTGCCCTGCCCTAGGTGTGATTCGACCAGCACCAAGTTCTGCTACTACAACAACTACAACCTCTCCCAGCCTCGCTACTTCTGCAAGTCGTGCCGCCGTTACTGGACTCAGGGTGGCACCCTCCGTAACGTTCCCGTCGGTGGTGGCACCCGCAAGGCTTCCAAGCGTTCCCGGAGCTCTTCCGGGCCATCTCCCTCCGTCGCAACTTCGTCTTCCTCGAACGTGAACCACGAAGCCGAGTCTGTCCATATGGCTGTTAACAACGCCGTTTCGGCGGCCGGAGCTAAACCGGAAGTGGGCTTGGCCGACGTTAATTTGAATGAAACTGTGGATCTTACCGTGAATGGAGGCTTCACTTCGTTCTTGAACTCCCAAGGAGAAGGGTACCTAACACTAGGTGGATACGGGCTTGGGGCTGGTTATGGATTCGATGGGGTTTGGGGATATACCAATAGTGGTTATCTCGGTGGTTATAGTGGCGGCGATGGCGATGAACCAGGTGATGCTGTTGGTGGAACCACCGGGTGTAATACATGGCAAGCCACAAGCAATGTTGAAGGCGGCGGAGGGCTAGTTGATGAGGATTGCTTCGCTTGGCCAGGCCTTGCAATTTCTGCACGAGGGAAAGGTCTGAAATGAAAAAGGCATTTCATGTGTTTGTTTTCCAGTTTGCTTGTTACTGTTTAGTGGGTTTATCGTTTTATTGTGAAGTTTCTTTGGTGGGTATAGAGAGAGAGAGAGATGATTAATAATACAATAGAGATGGTTTCAGTGTTTCTTAAGAGTGTCGTTTTTTGGGGACGACGACTCTGTAAACCTGTGGTGTCTTTGATCAATATTGGGAATGAAATGAATGATAAACGACAGTTTGTTTTCCTTGAGCTTATTATAGCAACGAATGTTCATTGGTTTTAATGCATTTTGTCCTAGTAAAAGATCATTTCTTTTTCTTGTTTTTCTCTGTCTCAGTGTAAGGACAAAGGTTGGGTTTGGGGTTTCCATTCAATACTGTGCAACAGAATACTCGAGTGATACGTATGCCTCCAGGTTTCAGTTACCAGCTACTCTACGACTGCTTCAAATTATCAAAAAATTATGATTGTCTTTATATTAACTATAATTCTCTGTTCAAGTTAATAGAGATGAATAGTGAATTGGCAATACAATTTATTGGTACCCATGAGTAAAATCTAATAGCAAATTTCACAATGGAAGGATTGCAGCCGGTGGACCTGGATTCCCCTGGAATTTAGAAAGATGCCTCGAGAGAGAGAAAATCTTGGAATTTGTCGCCTCTAAGTGACATTCCACCAACAAATGGACCGTTTTAGAACATCTTGTTTTTCGTATTTGTTCTTAATGGAAAAGGCAATTGCTTTCATGTCCCCACAATGGTTTTTTCCTACTTTTTAAAGTTTGAACCTTTCTTCTCCTTGGACAGACTTCGATCAAAATTCCATCCAGACAAGCTATACCTTTTTCTTAAACACGTAATATCGAACCGAACAGCACATAGTTGTAATAGTTATCCCTGTAATTTTAAGATTTAAGAAACCAGTATGCTTAGCATGTGAGGAGTGTAGCACAGCTGTTTTACTGCTACAGGGTTCGCAAATAAGGACAAGAAAAACGAAGCCGTGGGACCATGTTTACTCGATGAGGAAGGGATAGACACATGATTAGGTCGGTGGATAATAGTTTATGAATACATGTTACGGATTAATGTCTCTGTTTTAGATTATCAGACGGTGCATTTGGTGTTGCCAACTTCGTACTCATATAATTATAAGTCTACCTATATATCAATGATAATAACGATGAAGAGGGGGAGGTCAACTACTGAGTTATAGCCTTGAATCATTTGGCAATTTGATCAAATTGAGACATATTTAACGATTATTTATTTTTTTAGTATTGTTTAATATATATTTTTCGAAGTGGTACCCTTTCGACTGAGCTGGCGAAACGCGCGTCCCCGAGGACGCGCTTTACCCGTGTTTTCGCTGAGTTGGATGCCACGTGTGGAAGGCGCATCCCCGGGGACGCGCCTTTCCTGACTCGACTTCCACATGTGGAATGCGCATCCCCGGGGACGCGCCTTCCATTAAATGTCATAAATACCCCCATCCATTAAATGTCATAAATACCCCCATCCATTTTCTCTAACTATCCCTCCTCTTCCCCTATATAAATCCCCTCAACCCTCCCTAATTCTTCACACCAAAATCATATTCTCCTCTCTTATATAACTCAAATTCTCCAACTATTTGAGTTTTAAATTTGTTATTAGTGGTAAGAAATTTATTTTTATGTTAGTATTTTTTAAAATAGTTATTATATTTATATTAATATATTTATGTAAATATTTTTTTTATTAAAAAATATATAATTATTATTTATTTAGAATTATTATTTTTTTGTGCTAATTATATTGTTTTGTCTACAGTTATAATGGAAAACGAAATGCTGTTGCGATTGGATATTGATCATATCTCCAGACATTTTAGCGATATGATAATATTTTTTATAATTGATGTTAATATTTAAATTTATTTTTATTTTAAAGCTATTATGAATTTATATTAATTTTTATTTTTTATAATGTATATTATTTAGGATACTGATCGTATTTTAGAGACTTTTATTAAAAATTCATGTATACCGACACCAGATCGTATTTTGTCATATTTGGCTTCTGCCGGGTTCGGGTATATTGCAACAATTATTGGCGGTTGCAAACTCGAACCTGTCCTAATTTCTGCACTGATTGAGAGGTGGAGGCCCAAGGTACACACCTTTCACCTTCCATGTGGAGAGGCCACAATTACATTGGAGGATGTCTCTATGCATCTGGGGCTTCCCGTCGACGGAAATATGATGTGTGGTATGATGGATGGTGATTGGCTGTCAATGTTCATTGATTATCTTGGAGCTGCTCCGCCAGAGTTTAATGGAGGTAGAATAGCTTTATCTTAGTTGAAAGCTAATTTTGAGGTTTTAAATGAAAATGCTTCAGAGGATCAAGCAAAGGCATGTGCTCGGGCATATATTCTACGAATAATTGGAGGAATATTGATGACCGAAAAATCTCGCAACCAGGTGCATTGTATGTGGTTGCGGCATCTGATAGATTTTGATGAAGCTGGAAGATATAGTTGGGACGCTGCAGTTTTGGCATTTCTCTTTCGAGAAATGTGTCGGGCGACGAATTATAAGAAAAATGCTATCGGTGGATGTCTCATGCTTCTACAATCATGGGTGTGGTTCCGCATGCCTTTCTTATGCCCGATCGGGAATGAACCATACGTATTCCCCTTATTGTTGAGCTAATTTTCGAACTAAATTTTGATTTAAATATTTTTAATTAAATAGGGTGATATTTAGTTTATATTATATTTCATAGGTGGTCGATGAAAAGAAAGGACCATAAAAGTATACCTACTGGGTTAGAGGAAATTCGTATACTTATTGATACGAAAGCTGGGTCTGAGGTATGTTTTTAAATTTGTTTAATTATTAATATTTTAATTTAAAATGCTAGATATAATTAGAATATTTTATTTATTTGAATTGTATATTTATATTTCAGTTTCAGTGCATACCTTATGCGAGCGATGAAGTGAAAGCTTGCATCCCACCCCACCTTAGTGGGTCATTAGAGGTATGAATATCGGTTATACCTCTTATATGTTATGCTATTATTGAGTGGCATCGAGTTGATCGTGTGCTCCGTCAGTATGGTTGTACGCAATATATTCCTAGAGCACCTAGAAATTTAGACGACGTGCATAACATAGATAGACGAGGAAAGAAAGATGTTAACTGGGTGGTGAGACACAGAGATTAGATTGCGCTTTGGGAGAACCGAAATACACTGTTGGCCCCTCGACAATATTACGCTGAAACTGGTCATATGGATACAGATAACTATATGGACTGGTTTAATGAAAATAGGAAGCCGTTTCTACTTTCGGCGGAAGCACGATGGGTTAACATTCCTAGGCGCCGATAAAGACGTCAACCATCTCAATCTCATCGTCCCCCGACGCGTGGACGGAGAGAAGGCGCTACCGGTTCTACATCAGTCCCACCACAACATCCTTATCCGTCGATGCCGCAAGGGAACATGCCCAGCCCTCCATTTCATATGCCAAGCCCACCAGTTCATATGACATCTCCGCAGGGTTACATTCCGAGCCCGCAGGGTTACATTCCTAGCCCGCCAGGTTACATGCCTAGCCCGCAGGGTTTTATACCATATGGAGGTGCATATACGACTATGTTTAATGATCCAGCATATGGTTCATATGCATCTTATTTGGCTGGTGGTGCTTCTCCGCAGACACCTCAATCTCCATCTGGATCACAGACATCGATGCCAATGTTTCCACACTTTTCACAGTTCCAGGGGAGCGGTGGGATTGTTACTAGCACTCCTCTAGGGTCGTTATTTTATACAGGCCCTTCAGCCCCTTCAGCGTCATCTACATCAAATGAAGAAAATGATGCTGATGATGATAGTGAAGATGAGGAGACTGAAGAACAAGTTCCACGAAGAAATCCTCCACGAAATAGACAACCACCGCATGTGGAACTCATTCGAGAAGACGACATCGGTGATCCAGTTGTATTTTAATGTTATTTAAATAGTTATATTTCATAATTTTATGTAATTTGGTTATGTTATTTAAATGTTTCATGGTTGTTACATACATATTTTTAATGTTATGTTTTATTCACATTTAACATTAAATGTTTGATAAATGTTTTTAAAATACAAATTATATTATTCGAAATTTAAATTTAAATTTAAAATAAAAATAAAAATAATATTATTCGAAATTTAAAATTTAAATATAAATTATAGTATTCGAAATTTAACATTAAATTTCAACTTAATATTCCAATTGTATTCGAAATTAAAAGTTATATTCCAATTATAGTTCACAATACTTAAATTGAAATTAAATTTATTCATACATATGATTTTATCATTAACATATATATTAAAATGTATACATTAAAATCAACTTATCACTTCACAATTATTCGTAAAAACATCTCGATGCTCATTCCATACAATTTCAATGTCACAATCAACTTATCACTTCACATTATTTAATTATCCATAACATTTATCTAATTTATTCAAACTTCACATAACGTTTTAATTTAAGTTATGAACTTAAATTAATCTATATGTATAATTTATTCTTAACTTGCTGAACTTTTAAAAGAAGTTAAATTTTGGTTATAATTTACCTGATTTCACAATCCATCTAGTGTCCCCGAGGGACATGAGTGACATAATAGGGCAATGATAACATATTATCTGACAAAATAATGGAAGGCGCGCCCCCGGGAACGCGCATTCAAGTCCCCTGAGAAATAATAGGTACTGATATGAATGGTGTCCCCGAGGGACATGAGTTACATAATAGGGCAATGATAACATATTCTCTGAAAAAATAATGGAAGGCGCGCCCCCGGGAATGCGCCTTCAAGTCCCCTGAGAAATAATAGGTACTGATATGAATAGTGTCCCCGAGGGACATGAGTGACATAATAGGGTAATGATAACATATTCTCTGAAAAAATAATGGAAGGCGCGCCCCCGGGAACGCGCCTTCAAGTCCCCTTAGAAATAATATGCACTGATATAAATAGTGTCCCCGAGGGACATGAGTGACATAATAGGGCAATGATAACATATTATCTGACAAAATAATGGAAGGCGCACCCCCGGGAACGCGCCTTCAAGTCCCCTGAGAAATAATAGGTACTGATATGAATAGTGTCCCCGAGGGACATGAG